CCGTGCTGAAACTCGTAGCATTTTCATGTTTATCTGAGTCCGGGCTACTCCATAGTTCAGTGATGGTAACTGGTCACCGAAGCCCTGGAATTTGGAGTGGTTAACCACATCAAACCCCACTAGTTCGGGCGTGGTATAGAACCGGACGATTGCAAAGCTGCTCATCACCAAGAATCGCAACTCTCCGGAAATCATTGATCTTCATCCTCGCACAGTGTTTTTCACTGAAGATGCTATTTGAATGTAGACAAACTACGGTGGCACTTCCAAGCGTTCTGTCTGTAATTTTACACTCATCAGTTTACTATGTGAGACAGTTGATTATCGATTTAATGATAATGCAAACGGACCTCGTGACCATTCAACGAGAATCGGAATAGGCAGAACACCGATTTCCAATTTAATCGTTAGTGATACGTGACGTGAACAATGGAAATACGATGGAAAACTTTTGTCTGTGGTGGAAATTCATTGATAATCAATTCGCCTTTGTTTTCACGTTACTTCGTCGAGTAATTGCATCAACCAATTGTGCTACGTTTCTTGATGTAACACTAGCCCAAAGATTTCTCACCCTACTCCCCCCTCCCTGGTTTTAGTTGGCTTGAAGAAAACCGGGATAAACTTGGCAACAAAGCATATCAACTGGAATACACTTTGGCCAAATTAAACTTTTTGACGACAATGCATCGTCATTCAAACGATCCGGCTGCAATCCTGCACTCCGCGAGACAATTGGTCCCGTATGCGGAAACCTATCCGGAAGGCAAGTGTTTTTAATCCCTTTTCCCCAGTCCCCGATTCGTCCATAAGACCCGTAATTGTTCCGGATTTCTGATCGTGATTTGAAAAGCTAGGAAGCACACTGCTGGACAGCTGTTTCGTCCTGGTTGGGCCTCATCCGAGCAGTGCACAAATCCGTCTACCCCCGACCGGGAATCGCGAACTGGAGACCTCAAAGCTAGAACGTAAGCATGCTACCCACTCGGCCACCGGGCAGTTGATCAGACCGTTTTTCATTTCCTTGCGACCATAGTTTACTGGAGGTCTCCATTTTTTCTCCGACTACTTTCAACCTTGCTATCTTTCTCCTACTACCTCATCTAAATGGGCAGCCAAAAGATAGCAACTAAAATCGGCGCACGAAAGTGCATTGTTAATTGTTGTAACTGAAACGACCGAACAACTGAGCTTACACACCCTTCACACACAACGGATTATGGCGGCGGAGAACATAACAGCCCCAAAGCAAGGTTCAACAGGTTTTGCACAACGTTCAACGAGTACTTGGTTACCCGAACCAACGTTAAATGGATTTTGCGCTGTTTCAACGATTCTGGTGATTACAACAGTGCCGCGATGTCGTGAATTTCCGTTACCGCTACCACGAATGTTGTCAAGCCAAACCACCGCTGGCATATAACCGGGCCCTACTTCAACCGACAGAAGTTGTCTACCCAAACCAAATAATCGGAACTGATAAAATCAGACCGTTCTCGCGGGAAAAACAGGTATATCTTGGTTCCGGTAGGCTATCTAACCAAATGGTGTGAAGTAACTGCGCTGCCGTCTGTTGACTCAAAGACGGTCACTCACACCGCATTCGAGCAATGTGTATGCCGATAGGGTGCACCAATTCAACTACATTCCAGCTGAGGTTCCAGTTTTGTGAACGAGGCGGTCGCAGAGTTATGCCAATTCTGCGGCAGACGGAACGCACTGATCAATCACTGAAAGGGCTGTCGAAAGCATTCACGAACAACGAAGGCACTGCCCAAGAAAGCGAGATTTCGCGTTACCCAACTGTCTTCTTGCCTACCTGTAGACAATCCACTCGTCCATCTGCCACACCCTGCATGCATGCTAACCGGGGGTGCGAGATGCGGTTGTCAACCGATCTAAGCCTCCCACTTCTGGCCTCAGACTGTGCCCATAGTGTTTGCGTGGACCCTGAAGCCGCGCATGCAATAGGCACGTGATCTGGCTCGACAACACCCGAANCCCGAAGAGGGCACTACTGTAGTACAACCAGGCAACACAGAGTTTCGTCTACAATCCCGTTTCACCATCTGGACAGTCAGAATAACTGCACAAGACCTGGGAGATTCGTTTTACAGTTCGAGAAGTGCAGTCAAATGCTACTTGTCGCGTGATTCCATCTAGATGCCCAAACATCAGACACCCCGCGGTAGTGAAAGCAGAGTTAGCAGATGGTGGATGGTTCGGAACAAACAATGCCTAGAGGCGTCTTGGACGACACTTCAGGAGGATAATGTAGGCGAGACAACTTGATT